CAAATAAATCTTTTCCACAAATAAAATCAGACTCTGGGTACTTGTCTGCAACTTGCTTTAATAAGCTAACCTGAATATTTTTCCAAACATAGATATATCTTATTCTGTTTATCCACTACTTAGTATTCCCTTAGTTATATTGATTAGGTTGTTGCTGGATTGAGACTAGTCTAACATACAACCTTTCAATACTTGGCAACTATATCTATGAGATAAATTATTATAAATAGACTGCTTATTAAAAGGGTAGATGATATCTAAATTATTAAGTTACATCTCCAAAAAAATTTATACTGCTATTAAGAATTCAAAAACATAAGTTTCCTCCTACTCTAGTCTGATGAGGACAGAGCGGTTAAAAAAAAAACAAGATAAACCTATAAGTATAGCCATCTCTACAGTATACTGTTTTAAAAAGTCACAGAAAAATATGACTTTACTTTTCCAAATAAAAAATTTATATATGTTTGTATATGTCTAACTATAAAACACATATATACAGGGTCCTAATTCTTGAGATCTCAACTTAAATATCACCATTTCAGAAAGGCCCTCTCTCTGTCTATCCTATTTAAAGTAACTCTCACCTACCCCTAATAATTCTTTACCAGAGCTTTCTTTTTATTTCCTTTAAGTAGATATAAAGGCTGTAATTATTTTTTAATTTATTTGCTTATATCTGTTTCCACAAGATACAGAATATAACCACTCTAACAGCAGAGAATCATATTTGCCTGTTAGCTATTTCATCCCCACCACTTAGCACAATGAATATAGAATTGTATATACCATACAGAATTTTGCTCAACAAATATTTTAGAAGGAATATATAGACCCTGTCTATTGACAAGGGTTATCTCTAGAAAGTAACATTAGGGGAAGGGTTAAAAAAGTGAAATTACTTTTACTTCAGTCAATTATGCATTCTTATTTTTGACAATGAACATGTGTTATGTTTATTTTAAAAATTTTTAGTGCAATTTTAGTTGTAACCAGACCATTTCAGATGTCTGGCAATCTGGTCATAAAAAGATTATTTTCTTGTTTTGCAAATTTAAATGATATACTTGAACATTATGTGGACTTCTGTTGTCTATTTTTCAATCTCTCTTTCAAGAAATTAACCTTTTATATTCATTTTAACTGAGTTTAATGCTGAATATTAAATTCCTAAGGTTGCCTTGCCTTTTTATGTTCTTTCAAATTACTATTACCTTAAGTCACAGAGTACTTAAAATTTATAAAATGCTTTACTTACATTACTCTAATTACTCCTCACAGGTATGCTGTGTAGAGATTATTGTTTATACTTAGAGCTAAGGAAAATGATGCCCAGAGAGGTTAATCACCTCATGCACAGTGGGGCTGGAACATGAATCCAAATTTCAGAATATTTAGCAAAGGTTTGTTTCATTACACATTATGACAGGTAACATAAAATCATTAATTAGAAATGCCTCAACCTGCTTACAAATAAACCTATTTCACTATCTAGAGAGAAAGAGATGATTTTGAAACACACCTTATATTGAATACATATTATTTCTAAAACAACTGCATTTAGCAGGGTATCTGGTGCAGTAAGGGACCTAAAAGATCATTCAATTTAATTCCTTCATTTCAGAGAAAATAAAAAATTACAGAATTTCACTATGTTATCCAATCACTCAGTAGGTGAACAGCAGGCATGGATTAGAACCTGGGCATTGACATTAGATGCATTTTCAATCTTAGAAAGTTCCTAGACATGCAATTCATGATTAAGAAGTCAAATCATTCCATAGTTATCATGAGTAAAACTTTTTCTAAAGTTATAATTACTGCAATAAAAAACAAAATAAATGAGTAGAATTTATCCTAATATCAACAGCAACTATTGTACAGTCTAGTACTTTAGATTTAAAATATTCCACTAATGACTAATAATTTCTTTCTGCTATCTAGCCAACTTTTAATCATGCCAGCCAGGCTGTTAGTCACTTATTCCACAACTTCTATTATTCAATACTAGCCTCAGATACTATATGGAATTTTTGACTAATGTTTCTGTCAAAAGGGAGGCGGGGGGACGCTCAATATGTATCCTTATCTACCATGGCCATAATATCCTAGAAGAATTTAATGAGTTGGTGCAGTGTGAATTTCCTTTACTAAAAACAAGTTTGTGTTACTACTCCCTTTTCATCAACCCTTCTTCCCTTCCGGGAAGTAAAAACTTGCCAATTATCAGACTTAGTATCAAAGGAAATAAAGAGAAAAAGCATTTTTGTATTTTCACATTCCAGTTTTACATGATAACTTTGGGATCTATTTTTAAATTGATACTGACAGGAAGAAAGACCAATAAAAAGTAATACACAAAAACCAGACCTTAATTTTTACCTTAATTCCTACTACTCAACATAACTGCAATAATTTATAAACATATACCAATGCTTTTTTTTGAAGATATCATTCAGTAGATAACTATAAAAAACAATATAGATTTTAATATAAAATGATAGGAAATATTAATTTGAAATGGCAGCAAATAAATACTGTTTTATGTTCTTTTGAAAGATATAAGATCCTCTAAAATCAAAAGAGCTGCCATAAACCAAAAAAGTTCAATACTAAAAGCTATTTGAAATGTTTCGATTAAGAAGACATGTTCAAAACAAAACTCAAATTCTACTTCCCAATTTGGTTGAAAATCCTGTTTTCCGGTGATGTTATAAAAACATTTTCTATATCTTAACTGTAATTATGAAATTTCATTTACTCTTCAAAGGTGATAATTAATAACCAAGCTGCCTAGTTATATCATAAGTCAAAGAGCCTTCTGGCAACCAAGTACTGAGGCAGCCTGATGGCCAGTAGACTGGATACAGCCACACATTTCAGGTAGGAATCAAAAGAGAACTCCTACAGAAGTTAAAACTTTGTGTTAAAGACAGTTGAATATCTTCAACATTACTTTTAAAGAAGATATATGAAGATAAGCACCATCTCAACAAGGTCTGATGTTTCAGTTAGGTCTCAATGATAATCGCAAACACAAATACATTGAAGTCTCTTTGCTTAGTCCCATGTAAATAAATACAAGATAGCCACAGGTTTAGTAAGAAAAAATAATAGTCAATAGTAAAAAGAAAGAAGCCTATCTACCTCACTGATTCTGTTGCTACTGCTTTATTTGGTAATCGTACTTAGGCATTTTTCCTAGATGGAAAAATGTCATGCTTCTGCTAAAATCATTTCCAATAAACAGGGAAGGGTATAATCACAGACAAACATAGGAAGAAAAAGGCAGTTCAAATAGTTTATGCCTTTTAGTAACAGTACTATCAAGTATATTCTCAAAAAAATAGTACATAGAAGTCTTACACACATGCTATTTCAGTGAAAAGCCAGAGTAGGGCCATTTTTGCCAATCAGCTCCCCTGGCCAAATTATAGACATTAGAGAAATTCCTTCTGGAACCACACCAGAACCTAACTATATTTGACTTAGATAAAAACATCAAATGTCTAAAGTGGAGTCTTTTTCATATATTCTTGAAAAACACTCAAAATAAAAAAAGTGATTTAGTTGCCAAAACAAAATAATACTCCCAATGCATTCTTATCAATTTAACACAAAACTGTTATCCAAAAGTTCAACATTCAGAAATTCAGTATGAGAAAATAATCATACAAAAGAGTTCAACACAACATTCTTCATAATATAAAGCAAATAATAGGAGGAAAATGTACTGCTAACCAATATGGATCCAGTTATATTAATACATTAGTAAATAAAGTAGATATATAAATGATTGGCACATGCATGTCAATGCAGGTCTGCAGCTGTTAACATGGAAAGATGTGTATAGCATGCTACTGCAAAGAAACAAGTTAAAAACACATACACATCTGTTTGTGATCATACACAGTTCCTGTAGGTGGTAAGGGCTGGAATATATGTTCTAGTTATCAACTTACTGCTCTCAGCTCTAAATTCAGATTTCATTGCCTGCTCTGCAAAAATAGAGCTGGGCCTTTTATGTATTTTTCCTTTGACAGCTGGTACATGTATTGAACTTTATCACTACAGGGTGTTAAGGACATATTACAGAAGAAAGGGGTTTCCTCCCCAGTTCCAGTGTGCTGCCTTGCCAGCCTCCTATTAGTCTCCCCCAATACCCGAGTCCGTGGGTACTTTTGTAGTGGCATGCCTCCAGTGACACACTTCTCTGTAACATTTCCCAGCACCCTACAGAGGAAATTCTGGGCAATTTTAGACAGCAGAACACCACATCAACCTCTCTACCATCCAGTAAACATCTTTTCCAACAGGGTCTGGATGTCAGGCCTATGGGGCCTCTTCCTGAGCACTCTATTTTAGATCTAGGGGTTGTTAGACCTAGGGATTGTAGTTCCTTGTATTTGCCATTCTTGTGTTTTTTAAGAGTTCTCTTTACTTCTTACTAGCCAAATCCTTGTTAGTCCCATTGTAGTAAATAATTCTTTATATTAAACTTTTCCTGCTCAAATTATAGTGTTGTTTTTCCTAATTTTATATACAGGTTGGATTTTTCTTTTATACTTTTTAAAGTTGTCTGAATTTTTTAATAATAAGCACTTTTCTGAGTGAAAATCAGATGCGGGAAGTTAATTTTATTTTGGAAAAACTGAGGAAAATTGCAATGCAAAGTAAATATTACTTCAAGAAGTTTTTCTTTGTAGGCCAGAACTGTATTTGTGAGATTAAAATGATTCAATTCTAAAAAACATCCATTTGTGTAAGACTCTATATTTGTTCAGTTTTTCTTAATACAAGTTTTTTTTTCACTGTTGTCCAAAATCGTGTTTCTAGATAATTTTCACAATAGATGTGACTTAGACTGCTATTCTTTTTCTCTTAGTTATGCCATATCTTGGCTTTTACAAACAGGTTACCAATGATGAGCTCCTGGAATAATACATACGAGTTCCTCCAACACACAGCCTTTTTCATCTTATTATTTTAGTCCCTCTTACCATGTTCAAGGATTATCAGTTGGGCTCCAGCTTGTGCATTTCCGACATCATTCTCAGCAATGCACTGATAGAACCCTTCATCTGATTTCACCAGACCCAAAACTTGAAGATTATGTTCCTTCTGAGGAAGAAAAACACAAATAAAATTTTATGATTCAATTGATAAGAAATAGTTCCCAATCTCAAAGTTATGGTTTTTTTAGAGAGGAAAAACAAGTAAAATGTTATACTTCAATTACTGAATACTACCTACCTATACACCTATTAATTCAATTTTATATTAAATTACCAGCAGGGTACTGACTTTAACTAGACTAGTACATACAGTTATTAACAATGATGAACATTTATGGAAGTCATACCCTCACTCTTTGCAAACTTATACCTCTGCTTGGAAAAACAACTGGTATGCAATATAAGTCGCCTTAATGAAAGCCCAAATTTGTGGTATTGATTTCTTAAGATTATCTGTAACATCAATAGTTCTAACAGATTAGACTATCATAAGTTAAATGAAGCCATATACATATGAGTTTTCCTTAAACCATAAAGTACTACATGAATGACAGCTATTGCTACTGGTATAATATGAATTTAAAATTTTAAAAAGTGTACAAATACTGCTGAAAGAATAAAAACTATAATTTAACCATAATAGTTTCCTTTATAATGTTAAATACTTGTGAATTGCTTTTTATAACATGATTGTGCCTTTCAAAAATAGAAAATGTTTCCTACTAAGAAAGCATTACATATATGACAATAATGTAACATAGATATTAAGTCTCTAACAACCATAGTAACTTCTGATTATTTTTATGAATGGCACGCATGGGTCTCATGAGACAGGTCATTATTCCTTATTATTACCACAACCTGGATCATTCTATTACTAGGATGTTAGATAGTGAAGATAATAATATTATTACTAAACATTTATTCTATATAAAGTAAAAAGCAACTATGACTGTATTCTTAAATATATTTAACACTATTACTTTTGTATTATCTTTAAATTTTCCTTTCTTTTATTTTTGTTTTTTTAAGATTGGGTCTTGCTCTGTCTCCCAGGTTGGAGGGCAGTAGTGTGCTTATAGCTCACTGCAGCCTCCAACTCCTGCACTGGAATGGTCTTGCTGCCTCCGCCTCAGGGACTTCAGGAGCAAGCCACCATGTCTGACTAGTATTCTTTTATTTTTTGTAGAGCCAGGGTCTCCCTGTGTTGCCTGGACTGGTCTTGAACTCATGAGCTCCTTGAACTCACTCAAGTGATCCTCCCATACAGACATCCCAAAGTGCTGGGATTATAGGTGTGAGTCTCGACGCCCTGCCTGCACTGTTACTTTTTCAAAGAATCTTTCTTTCTGTCACAACAAATGTCCAACTCTGGGTCATCCCTATTTTGAAAGGTTGGGGCATCAATATATGATTTCTAGTTAAGTTTAGTATAGTAAGTTGCATACTTAACCCTTTCCAATCCAATTTTTCTGCCATCCACATACTCCAGCCTTTAACATTTATGGAAAATTATACACTCACTGCTTGCGAACTTACACTTCTGCTTGGAAAAACATCTAGCATGCAGTACTGAGTGACCTTAACAAAAGTATGGATTTGTGGTATTGATTTCCTAAGATTATCAGTAATATCAATATTTCTAGCAGATTGGACTATAATAAGTTAAATGAACTTATTATCTAACATAGAATCAGAAAAGGTTAATCATATTTTTCAAATGGATCATCTTTCCACACTTCAAGAAACAGATTTCTCTCCTTGAATAAAGAGCTGTGAAGACAATTAGTGACACATAAACACACAGGTGTGGGTGCTAATTATTACCCAGAAAATGGTGACAGCTGTGTTTAAGAGTGTTTAAGTCAGAGTACTAGATTATTGCTGGACTCCAGACATACTTCAGCCACTGATTTGCTATGTGATCTGATATAAGCAACCAAAATATTTCTGGGCTCAGCTTTCTCATCAGCCAGTGAAGAGATTACATTCAATGTGAACTTTTTTTTTTTTTTGAGACAGAGTCTCACTATGTCACCCTTGGTAGAGTGCTGTGGCATCACAGCTCACAGCAACCTCAAATTCTTGGGCTTAAGTGATTCTCTTGCCTCAGCCTCCCAAGTAGCTGGGACTACAGGCACCCACCACAACGCCCAGCTATTTTTTATTGTAGTTGTCATTGTTGTTTAGCTGGCCATGGCTGGGTTCAAACTCACCACCCTCAGTGTATGTGGCCAGCGCTGTAACCACTGTGCTACGGGCACCAAGCCTCGATGTGAATTTTTTTATCTTCATTTGCAGCACATAAACTGATGTACACAAGGTAACAGATCCCCTAGTGATTATATTTAAAGACATCTAAAGGTTTCAGAAATAAATGTTCTTCTTTGAAAAAATACTTACTACAATCTTAAAATAATCACTTGGGATAACCATATCGCCATTCTTGACCCACTTCACAGTTGGAGTTGGTTTCCCAGTCACTTCACATTCGAATATAATATCCATAGATTCATGAGCATATATATTAGCAGGTTGCTTCAGGAATTCAGGTGGAGCTTTAAAATAGAAAGGAAATTAGGGTATTAATGAAAATAAAAATAGGTAGCTATTCATAGTTCAACCAATTGTTTTAAATCACAGAATTTACAGGAATTTTTTATTATTTAAAGGCTCTCACATATTTTTGCAAAAGCATAAAACAAATACATATTTAAAAGACATGCTAGGAATATAGTATCTTTAAAAACTGATTCTGGGGCAGTGCCGGTGGCTCAAAGGAGTAGGGCGCCAACCCCATATGTCAAAAGTGGCAGGTTCAAACCCAGCCCGAGCCAAAAACTGAAGGGAAAAAAAAAAACCTGATTCTGGTATCATTAACTGTTATAAAAATTTCTGAGTTTTCCCAGCTCCTTATTAAGAACTAATTACACTAAGTTGATTATACTAAAGAAATAAAAAGTACAGATATTACAACCTGCCCAAAAATAAATATTACAGACTATTTCCTTAAAATTTATACCATCTAGGAAGGGCCATAGCTAAAATTCAAAGAGTTGAAAAGACTGACACCATCTTCCTTTTAGTCAGCTTGATGAGTAATGAAATATGTATACACATGTGCGTGTGTGCGTGCCTGTGTATATAAAACAATGTCATGTGAGAGGCCTTCGACAGTTCACGCTCGTAACACACTCCCATTATCAAACATCCCTCAATACATGAAATGGTTTTTATGGGATGAGAAGAAGAGTGACAGGATCCTTGGAGGAAAAGGTAAGTATATTTTCCCCTTACCCTAAAGTTATAAATCACTGATTTATAAATAATAGATTCGTAAGATTTTTAATTATAAAGGCTGAAGTAGATATCTAATGTCCTACTAATGCTGTAATTTCCTATACAACATCCTTGAGAAAGGATCTTAATGATTTCTATTCAAAAAATTTCAAAAAAGAAATTTCAAAGAAGAGCAGCTTTATTTGCAGTTGAGCTAAAATCTGCCCTGCCTGCTGTGATGTTGACTGGGACTGTGTTTGTGGCAACTTGACATCTTACTATTAAGTCTTCCTTTCCATGACCATAGGGTTGTATCTCCAATTGCTTAGTTCTTTTATTTCTTTCATCAGTGTTTTATAGATTTCAGTGTACAAATCTTGTTTATACTTTGTTATGAATATCCCTTAGTATTTCAAATACCTTTGGTGGTATTCTAAGTGTGCTTTAAAACTCTTTTTAATTTCTAATTGTTCACCACTAGTATGTAGAGATGAAACTGATTTGCGTACATTGACCTTTTATCTTGGAGCTATTCTAAATACACTCATTAGTTTTTTCAGCCTCTGTACAGCCAATCTGAGTATTGTCTACATACACAATCATGTTATCTATGAATAGAGACAGTTTTATTTTTTCTTTCCCTTTTAAAAAAGAAATGTTCCAGCTCAGCGCCTATGGCTCAACCGGCTGAGGCGCCAGCCACGTACACCTAAGGTGGCGGGTTCGAATCCCCAGCCCGGACCCGCCAAAACAACAATAACGGCTGCAACCAAAAAATAGCCAGGCGTTGTGGCGGGCGCCTGTGGTCCCAGCTGCTTGGGAGGTGGAGGCAGGAGACTCGCTTGAGCCCAGGAGTTGGAGGTTGCTGTGAGCTGTGATGCCATGGCACTCTACCCAGGGGGACAGCTTGGGGCTCTGTCTCAAAAAAAAAAAAAAAAAAGAAATGTTCCTGCCTATTTTACTGGCTACAGTAGAGCAAGTCTTAGAAAGAAGTCCAAAAGCTATACAACTTAGGTGAATGAAGAATCAAAGTATAAAGCAGATAGAATCCCAGGCAAGTAGGACTCCCTCAAGTAGGAAAAGAACGCACTACGTATGATCCTGAGAAGCAACATACATACACAGTGATGGAAGATCCAGAAAACATAAACATGTAAAGTAAGAAATCCATTAACAGTGCACTGGACTATCCTTTCAAACACTGAATAGCCACTGTTATTTACTATCATTATTTGTTATGTGAATTATCTATACAAGTGCTCTGCCATTTTCTGCTCTCCCAATAATGTTCCCAATTGTCTTATCTACATATAAGTTATCAATTTATGGCCTCCTAGCTCCAAATCCACCCTTCCTTGCAATGAGGAATGTGGACCTTTGTAAGCTGTAGCTTTAACAGAGGGCACTGGAGGAACGCTGTGTGACACAGTGGTGTGGCAAAAAGCCAATCTTTCAGCTCCGGGTGTGCCCTTCTTGCTCCTGTGGTGCAGCTACCAGGTTTGTGGGAAACCCAGTGATGATCACCTTCCTGAAAGTTTCTCCACTCCATCTTTAGTAAGTTTCTTCGGCTTACTCCAGCAGGTGGCTTCTGAGCACTAGCCCTGACCCACAGCACGGGTCCTGTACTCCAGCTCCGTCTTGGGTCACTCCAGTGGGCAACTTCCTGCTCATCATCCCAGGCACATAGCACCCAGCAGGTGCTCTCCAGATACCAGCTCAGGCCTATGGCACCCAGCAGGGAATACTTTCTCCAACAAGGTCTGAGTAGCAGTCTTCCCTATCTGGATTCTTTCTCACTTTAGCAGGAGTAGTAGCTGATGCTTCCATTTACTTATGAATACTTATGTCTTCTTCCTACTTCATCCCTTTAAGCACATTTTAAAAGTTAATAATTCATTTAAATTTTCCCTGTCCAATACCTAGAGTGATTTCTGGTTCCCAACTGGATCCTAATACAGTAAACTTTAACACTTTGTCCATATGCTGCCAATATTTCTTCTCTCAAAAGTTTTCTCTTTGGGGGGATGGGGGTTACCGTGTATGGCACACCTCTTAGGGGTGGGACATAATTATAAGAGGGACTTTGCACTTAATGAATTAAGTGCACCCTCAATGAATCTTTGCACCCTCAATGAATCCCAATTAATTTTTAAAAAATGTTCTCTTTTATCACTTACTGTAACAAAGTTTTAAAGTTTTATGTGGTAACATTTATAAACTGTCCCCATTTAGATCTGCTATTTCATTATTCTTACTCTAAAGGCTGTCCCTGCTTCCATATGGTATCATTCACTTACATTTTCTTCTAGTTTCTATCAGACAATCCAGATTTAGTGAGGTAAGTATTCAGCTCTATGTTTTTTTAAATGGCAAGCTCAGTAGTCCCAATACGAATAACTGATTTGAAAGTTTTAATATTAAAATCTATGTATTCTTGGGGGGTTATTTCTGGACACTAATTGGTTTTACCCATCTGTCTATTCCTGCACCAGAACCACAAAATTATTATAAGTACACAATATGTCATAGTATTTGGTAGAACAAGTACTCTTCTTTTACTCCTTTCTTTCCTCAAAATTTTTCTAATGTATTTGTTTAGGGCTTTTATCTCCCCAGATAAATTAGATCCATGTTAAGTTTCTCTGTCCCTTCTCAAAGCAAACAAACTAGAACAACTTGGAGTTTCATTTGAACTGCAATAAATTTTAGATGTAGGAAAAATGAACGTATTTGTAATTCCAGTCTTGTCAATAACCAACTTATTTGAGTTTACTTGTGTTAAATGAAATTTATGTCACTGATTTCAACTGAAATCCTGCAGTAGGCCTCAACAGATCAAACCACAGTGGAGTCACTAGTACTAAGGTTCCATGCCTGAGTTGTTTATCTGATATTCTGAGAAATCAGGAGAGGTAATAGCTAAATCCACAAAACAGGCCAGTTCAGCCAGCAAGAACGTCCCCTCTGCTTTGACCCCTAAAAAGTAACCTGCAATAACCTGATGTTAACAGATCTGCTTTTCTGTACTATGCTGTTTCCTTGTTCCTGCTCCAGCTACCTTACAAAAACGGACCGTTCCACCACGCCCAGTGTAATGCATATCTATTCTTAAGATGAAATACTACCCAATTCATGAATTGCTGATAAAAGCCAATTACATCATCTAACTAAATGTGCTGAAATTTTGTCTTTTGACTCTTGGTATTCTTTAATAATGACTTATGGTAAAGCAGTTGTAATGAGTAGGAGTCAAGAGACCTAGAGCTGAGTTCCAATGGACATTTTGCTAAACATGGGTTTCAAGTCCATGAGTTATAGACTGCTTTTTACTAAAGGATAAATTCAACTAGACTATTCCTAACTACAAGAAGATCTTTAACCAATGATTTTAGTTTGTGTCTTTATGATAATTTACAGCTACCATTTATGACTTCTTTCCACTTATTACCATTTAGTTCCCATAGTGATCCCATTATTTATTATTATTATTACCATTTTATAGACAAGGACACTAATATGCACATAGTCTAATAAATGCCTTAACATATAGTTTAGTCAGTGACAGATCTAGAACCTGGGCAGTCAATCTGACTATAAAAAACCTACATTCTGGCTCGGCGCCTATAGCTCAACCGGCTAAGGCGCCAGCCACGTACACCTAAGGTGGCGGGTTCGAATCCCCAGCCCAGACCCGCCAAACAACAATGATGGCTGCAACCAAAAAATAGCCGGCGTTGTGGCGGGCGCCTGTGGTCCCAGCTACTTGGGAGGCGGAAGCAGGAGACTTGCTTGAGCCCAGGAGTTGGAGGTTGCTGTGAGCTGTAATGCCACGACACTCTGCCCAGGGGGACAGCTTGAGGCTCTGTCTCAAAAAAAAAAAAAAAAAAAAAAAAAACCTACATTCTTTTCAAAAATTCTTTATTTATAGAAGAAAACATACTAAATCCCCCTATACCTGTTAGGTAGCTTCACCAATTACCAACTCATGGTCAATACTGATTCACCTTAATCTATTCCATTCCCCATTTCCAGCCCCCACACAGATTATTCTGAAAGCAATAGTCAGGTATCATATTATTTCACATACCTCTAACAAAACAAGAACTCCCATTTCTAAACATAATTGTGATATCATCATGCTGTGTCTATAATAAAAATTTCTTAATATCACCAATTATCTAACCAGTATTCATATTGCACTAATTGACTGATTTTTCAAAATTATTTACTTTAGTTGAACTGGGTAAACAAGGTGTATTTGCTGGTATTAGGTAATGTG